GGGGGGCTGTGGGCCCGAGGCTTGGGGGGGAGCCGTGGGGCCCAGGTTTCGGAGGGAGCTGTGGGCACAGGCCCCATGGCCCCAGGCTTTGGGGGAGCTGTGAGGCCCAGGCTTTGGGGGGCCCATGGGGCCAGGCTTTAGGGGAGCCGTGGGGCCAGGCCTAGGGGGAGCTGTGGGTCCAGCCGTGGGGCCCAGGTTTCGGAGGGAGCTGTGGGCACAGGCCCCATGGCCCCAGGCTTTGGGGGAGCTGTGAGGCCCAGGCTTTGGGGGGCCCATGGGGCCAGGCTTTAGGGGAGCCGTGGGGCCAGGCCTAGGGGGAGCTGTGGGTCCAGGCTTTGGGGGAGCTGTGGGGCTGCTCAGCGCCATGGTGAGCATTGTAAGGTCTCAGAGCAAGTGGGTGGCCGAGCTCGTGATCCCCATGCTGCACCGGGGCTGCGTCCCACCCACCTCCTGCCTCACAGTCCCGTGGGGCAGCTGATCTCAGGGGGGACAGGGCCGTCCCTCACACCGGGAGGAGACATAAATATCTCTTTCTGGAGGCAGATGCAAATTGCCAGGCAAATGAGCGCAGCCACACTCCTGCCAGTCACCTGCTCGACCCCGTGGGCTGAGGGCAGCGCCGAGGGCAGGGCACTGCCGGTCCCGCTGCCCAGCCCAGACAGGATTGTGGGGCTGTTGTCCGCAGGTCCCCCCCCAGATCCTGGTGGAGCAGGTAGGGTGAGGGCTGGCCCAGAGCAGGCAGGAGGGAGTGGAGCTACCGGGGCTGCCGGGGTCCACGTCAGGGGGATCCAGGGGTGCCTCCTCGCACCCAGCTGGGGCGACCCCAGTGCTGGGGGTGCAGCTGGAGGGGTACAGGGTGTGGGTAGATGGTTGAGAGGAGGTGAGGGTGCCAGTGGGGAAGGGGAATGGGGGCTGGGGTGCAGGTTTGAGCGTGCTGGGGGCATGGAGGAAGTGTAAGTATGTGTGAGAGGGAGGGAAGAGATCAGATCAGTGGATCATTGGGGGACAACGTAGGGTCTGGGGGAGTCTGGGGTTACAGGAGACACCTGGGCCCCCTGTGGGGGGCCCTTGCTGCTGTTCCCTGGGCACAGAGCTGGGGCAGTATGCCGGGGCGGTGCGGTGGGGTGCTGCCCAGGGACCTGGCTCTGCAGGGGCCAGTTTCACCCTGCATGTCCCCAGCTGGCCGGCTCCAGCCCTGGCATCCTTCCCTGGCCAGGCAGCAGCTGGTCCAGGGCTTCCCCCCTCGGGGTGCTTGGTTCCCCTTTCAGTCTGGCTCCTCCCTGGGGGTGTCTGCATGCAAGCGAGAGCTGGCGCAGGGCCGGAGAGTCCCGGCAGAGGCTGAGCAGGCGTCTTGTTCTCCCCCAGGCACTGCCATCCCGTCGCGGAGATGCTGGATCTGCCCTTCCTGCCCTTCTGCGTCCTCCTGGGCGGCCTGGGCTTCTTGTGCGTGGCCTTCGTGAGCGGTTGGTGCCAGCACTGGCGCGGCGGCTTCGCCTTGGACGGCAGCGCCCAGATGTTCAACTGGCACCCGGTGCTGATGGTGACGGGCATGGTGGTGCTGTATGGTGCAGGTGAGCGGGGTGTGCGGCGCGGCGCGGCCCTGGCCCGGCTCCTGCCTGACCCTCTCGCCCAACAGCGGCCCTGGTGTACCGCCTGCCCCCCACCTGGAGGGGCCCCAAGCTCCCCTGGAAGGTGCTGCACGGCGCCCTGGCTCTGGCAGCCTTCAGCCTGTCCGTGTTGGGGCTGGTGGCCGTCTTCCGCTTCCACAACACCCATGGGACGCCCAACATGTACTCCTTGCACAGCTGGCTGGGGCTGGTCACCGTGCTGCTCTTCTCCTGCCAGGTGGGTGCTTGCCCCGGCCCCTCTGTGCCCCCGCCCCC